TCCCCAATGTTTCACTTGATGGCTATCTCTTTACCTTAATGCTTAAAGAGCATCTCGAATTAGAGGACCGAATGTCCCCCTTCAGTTATCTTCCTTCCCAAGCTCTGCTGAAGCTGACAACCACTAGAAAGCATCCACCCCTGAACTTTACCAAGGACCAGAACTACTCATCTTCCACCTGGCTCTCCAACCAGTTCCATATGGCTTCCTCTCCCACAGAAGACTTTCCCCTTAACTTTTACAGCTCTATGTGCTTCCTCCTTTCAAAGAGCCTGGACAGTACCACTTTGGTCAAGCATAGCTTCTCTTCCCTTCTCAACTCCCCAAAGTAGGAACATGTGACCTCCCTACATCTTTACAACATCCAGTCTCAAAACCAGTCACCATGACTTTTCCTCTTTGCATGTTGAGGCCAAGCACTTTAAAATGCCTATCTTCAGTGGTATTTCCCTACTACCACTGTCCTGGTTCAGACCTTGATTACTCTCTCCTGGAAAACTGCCATAACTACACCTCAGTATTTCCCAATGGGACATGTGCTGTGAGTACTGCATATGCACCGTATGTGTACAGTACACAGGAACAGCATGTAGGGGTGATAATGTCAGGAAGTTGAAAAATAAATAAGAGCTGGGGATGTGGCTCAATGGAAGAACTTTTGCCTAGCATGTGCAAGGTCCTGGGCTCAATCCCTAGTATGCAACAATAAATAAAATAGCAATATACATGTTAATGTACATTAAAAGAACACCTGGACCACACGGTGAGATCCTCTCAAAACTTTTCTGAGATTTGAAGAAAATAGTATTGTGAGCAGCAGCTAAATATGGCAAACACTAAATATGGTAAAAATGGTTTCACAATGGCTATAACTTGGGAGTTGTCATGTTTATGCATTACTTTGCTAATTTGTTACCATTCCAATATAACCTTTTTTAAAAATGTACTTAGTACAGGGTCTATAGGGTCTCACTACACAGATCAGACTTGTCGTGATCCTGTTCACAGCCTCCCAAATGCTGGGATTACAAGTGCACACCACCACACTCAGCCTCAGTCCTGTCTCAGTGTGCCCTAGGGGCAGGGCCTGCATGGCACTCTAGGGACCAAACCCTGTCCTTAACAGGAGCTTTAGTCCACTGAGCTATCTGGCCAGACCTTCTAGTCTTAACTTAGTCATCAAGTTCAAACTTATGTGGAATTTATATCATAACACATGCCTGTTTCAAAATTTCCAATAGCATCAACATCAAATGAAATTGAAACAAGGGACCAGGGATATAGCTTAGGGCATAGCACTTGCCTGGCAAGTGCAAGGTCCTGAGTTCAATTCCCAATACCGCCCCCCATAAATAATAAATACCCCGTCCCTTCCTCTAAATCTGATTTATAGCTACTGTGTCCTTTCCATTCCCATCTATGCCTTTATTACTTTCTTTTCCTTTGAAAGAATGCTCAATATCTATCACTCAACTCAATTCTGCTCATCAATAACCCAATCTTTTGCCAGGCACAGTGGCGCACACTTGTAATGGCAGCACTTGAGAGGCTGAGGCAGGAGGACTGCTGAAAGTAAATGGCCAGCCTAAACTCCATAAGAGCCTGTCTCAAAAAAACAAACAAAAAACAAAACCAATCTTTTGAAACCCAAGGAAAATGAAGTAAGCTGGTTTATTTTTTTGGCAGCATTGAGGATTGAATTCAGTATTGAGGGATTGACATATTCCAAATATTTTCCCACTGAATTTTTTCCCAGCCCTTGTTATTTTGAGACAGGCCCCACTGAATTGCCCAGGCTGGTCTTCAATTAGAATCTTACTGCCTCGGCTTCACTCAACTGGGAAGGAGGCCGAGCCCTAATATGTTTGTTTGCTAAGTCTTGTTTCCTTGAGTCTTTACTAATCATACTCACTGGAGTATTTTCATTGGATATGCCACATGGTATATTATTTGTGGTACTCACCACAGGACAGCTTTAGCTCTATGTATTCTACTCTTACTAGATTCTGAGCAACATGGAGGGATGAAGCCTCCACCTTTATTTCTGTCCCCATGTTATTTCTTTTTTTTTTTTTAAATATTTATTTATTTATTTATTTATTTATTTATTTATTGTGTGGCCAGCTCAGCCCACCACGGGGTGGGGCTGGCTGGCATGTGGTGCTGGGGGATTGAACCATGGTCCGTGTGCTTTGCTTTGCTTAGCTTGTTCTAAATAGGTGCTTTAGACCACTGAGCCATCTCATCAGCCCCCCCCCCCATGTTATTTCTACATTTAGAAAATACCAATATACCATGGACTGGCTAAATAAAATGTGGATGGAAGAAATGGATTGGTAGAAAAGTATCTGAATTTGACATGAGACAAAGTTTTAGGTTAGGGAAAACTACTTGGCTATATCTATTTAAAGGAAAAGCAAGAACACTTAGATGAGTATAGCCAGCAGCTACGTTAACCAGAATGATCTTCACTGTGTACACTGGAACAGGAGTTTCTTTATTGCTTTTCATGGTATTAGGGACTGGATTCAGGGCCTTGGCACTGACCTGGTGTGCCAAGCTCTTTTTATTTTTCTTTAGACAGAGATTCGTGAAGTTGCTAAATTGCCTGGTTGGACTCAAACATATAAGCCCCCTCCCTCACTTCCCAGAATGCTAGGATTATAGGTATGTGGCACCACAGCACCAGCTTGGGATAAGAGTTTCCAGAATTTTGATAGTTGATGCCAAAATATGAACCAGAGGCAACTGGTAGAAATTTATGTATATAACAAACCAATGCCCTCATGTGTGAAATATGCAGTATTGATTTCATTTTTCTAATTTATCACTTGTCTTGTGTCGCACTAGCAAGTAATGGTAAGCCTCAAATTTGTAAGAAAGGTCTGAAAAAGAAAATAATCAAGAATTAAAAAAAAAAAAGAATTCCATCCATTATGTTTTTCTATGACTTGGGGTGACATAGTCATTTTTAACACTAATTACTGGGGTCCATTGAATGTTCTGAGACTGCACTATCTGAATAACTGGTAAAGGGTAAAAAAAGCATTGAGAATCACTTCAGTGGTCTCCCCGACCCTGACTGTATCAAAGGAAGAGGACCTAAAAAGAGAATGTGAAGGAACACTCCAGGGAGAAGATATAAGAACTTGGTAGCAGAAGACCTGGATTACCATTTCTGGCTTGAAAACACCAGATTTCGTACTCCAGAGGGCCTAGTCTCCGATCAGTCAAGCTTAATGAACTTTTTGTATGTTTGTTTTGGTGATGCTTGGGATGGAACCCAGGGTCTTCAACAATGTAAACAGTTGCTTTACCACGGAGCTACGCACCCCCACCCCTCTGTCCAAGCCCTGGCCAAGTTTAAATGTCAAGGAAAAAAACAGACACACACAAAGTAGCTTTGATTATACATAAATCAGAGGAAGGGGCGCCTACGGATAGCTGTTCCCCACATCACGTGCCCACGTGTTCTTACGGACAGCAACAGCTTTGTCAATGACACAAATGCAGGGTGGCATAAGGCTTCCAGCATCTTAACATTTTAATGTGGGTGGGGGTGGAAAAGAATACATAAGTTGCTTTGTGACCCCCTCATCCTAATGCCTTGGGGACCAGCCAGGCTGACCCAAATGGAATCCAGAGCAAGTGGGGCGTTGGGTTCCCCGAGGAAAGGGGCAGATCCAGAACAGAGCAGAAGCGGTGATAGTTATCTGTATGAAAAAGTAAGGATACTCTAGGTGAGAAGGATTAGAATCAATCTAGAAAGCAATTTGGGACAAAGGAAGAGGAAAAAGAGGTGGTAGCAGGAATTATAAAAAAAGAGAGCCAGACACAGTAGACTACAACATTCGGCTTCTTTTCAGGGTTAGTGGGAAGAAGAGGTAGATTAGCATCAAGGATCAGTGAGATCCACAGCAAACAGATGAAGCCCCCAACAACTTTTTTTGGTGCTGTTTACAACTTGGCTTGCTTCTGAGACTCAGCCTGATTTATTTCCTACTCTGGGTGTTTCCCCTAAATGATACATATCAAATACACCCAAGAGGTCTGAATTCTATTATGATGTATGAGGGCCCAAGTCACTTGCTCTTGCCCTTCCTGAGAAACAAATAACAGGTCACAATGTAAAGACTAAAAATGCAAAGTATAAAAATTATACATAGATCAGGGATTAGCACTCACCCAAGATTAAATGCCTCGTTAGCTTTTGCCAAACAAGTAACCAGCACCAATGTTTTCAAAATAAGTGTGAAGATTCTAGTTTCCAAAGGACAAAACCAAAGCACGCTATGCATAGCCTGTATCCCCACCCACCCACAAGCCAGCCCCACTCTGCTGTCAGATAGTTACATAGAGGTCATGTCATTGAGGGCGTGGTCCAGTTCCTCGCTAATGGCCTTGTACTTCAGTTTCTGGGCATAGAGCTCATCTGGGCAGGCACAGGAACCACAGGGAGGAACGAGGGGGTCAGAGTGAAAGGTATCAGAAGCAGATGAAGAGAGGGAATCGTTAGAAATGAGGAAATGTGCGACCATGTGTCTACACACCAGAAAATGTCTATTCTGGCAGCCAGGACTGGCTATGTTCAGATCCACGGTCCCATAGGACCAAGAGCAATTCGTAATGCCTCTAATTAATTGCAGCAAGAGAACCTAGGCATAGTCCTGTTACCAGAGGTACATACAAAGATACAACTCTCACCCAGTTAACCAGTTCCTGCCAGTACTAACAATTTAACAAAAAATAGAAAAGGGAGAAAGTACACACCCACAGGACACTTCTGTGTCTAAGTGTGACCAATACTGCTGGCTCCTTTGGGCTGTAGGTTACCTCTCCAAAACCTGTCAAAGAACATCCTGGTACCAAGAATATGCCAAGGGAGCACATCGCAAAGCTCCCAAAGCAAGAAATCTTTCCTCATCAAAACAGAAGCATATGCCAGATTGCAGGGACAGAAGAATGTCCACAGCACCTGCCACTGGTCAGCCCTGGGCCATGGCAAGCCACAGGTCCTCCCTTAGAGAAGGGAGGGCAGGACTGCCAAAAGTAGCCATGGGGTGACAACATGAACCCTTGCTGCCTTCTGAAATCCTGCTTCCATTTTATCACACTAAAGACTTAGAACTAAACTGATGTAAGCACAGCCAGCCATTACCACTCCTCAAAGAGAAGAGGCAAATTCCAGAAACACTAGGTAGTCTATTAAAATCCAAGTTGGGGGCTGGATCCACTTTGTCTGGCTGTGGAACAGGATGGGGGACGGCACACATGCCACCATCACTCCAAATTCCCTTTAGTGCACAGGGAAAAGGGCTCCCGGTCCAGGGCAAGGTCGCTACTCGAATCTCTCTATCAGGCTCCATACCTTCCAAGTCATCAATGGTCTTTTCCAGTTTGGCTACTGATCTCTCAGCAAACTCAGCGCGGGTCTCCGCCTGGGATGGAGGGGGGGACACAAACTCAGTCAGAATGAGGAACACAGAAAAAGGTCTGTCCTTCCCTTCTTACTCCTAGAACTCCCAAACCAAAGCCAGCCAGTCTAAGCCCACACCAGTGCCTTAAATGCCTTTCAGGGTTTTCAGTCCTTTTCATCCTCTTTGCTCACCTCCTTGAGTTTATCAGTAAGAATCTTTATTTCTTCCTCATATTTGTCTTCTTTTTGCGAGTACTGTAAGAGAAGTAGAATAGAACTTTTCAGAGTAGAAAGCAGTCCCAGACAATATCCCCTTCCTACATTCATTCTCACACTGGATATCCTCTTGGGTTTCATGTGCTGAATGATCCAAAAGTAAGACAAGGTCCTACATTTGCACAATAGGTTCCTGGATCCACATGTTTCTTTAGAGCCCCCAGGATAGACTCCTTTAGAATATTTTTGAGACAGGTTCTTCCTATGTAGTTCAGGCTGGCCTTAAACTTGCAGCACCCCCCTGGCTCAGCCTCCTAAATGCTAGGATTACAGGTGTGCACCACCACACCCAGCTCCAGAACTTTTTTTTTTTGAGACAGGGTCTCACTATGTAGTGCTGGCTGTCCTTGAATTCACCTATGTAGTCCAGGCCAGCTTCAAATTCACGGCAATCCTCCTACCTCAGCCTCCTGAGTGCTGGATTACAGGCACATTCCATCAGGCCTAGTTAGAACTTTTATTTTTAAAATGGACCTAAAGCAACCCATTCGGGATTGATTCTGTCTCAGAAGCTATTCCTATCCCTCATTCCTTTTCCCTAATAAATTTTTCTACTGTTAAAAAAATGAAACAAGCATTGATGTTATTCTTTTTTTTTTTTTGCAGAACCGGGGATTGAACTCAGACCCTTACACTTGCTAGGGAAGCCCTTATTCCACTGAGCCATCTCCCCAGCCCCATAAGGGTTTTGTTTTTTTTTTTTTTTTTTTGCTCCAAATGCCCTCAGGGGTGGTTTGGCTGGCTGAAGTGTTGTGGGGATCGAACTACAGCAACCTGAGGCTGACAGCTTTGTGGAA